CATTTATGTTATGGCAGGTAAACTGAACGAACTTGCAAAGTATCATAAACACCTCACTAAAATTTTTTCTTCTCCCCAAATAACATTATTTTTTTTCTGGTTATAAAGGTTAAATACAGACTTACTGCAGACTGTCAAAGTATAAAGAAAAATATCAGTCAGTTGTAATCCTACAATTTAGAAGTGTCCATTTTTTCCCAGATCTTTTATGTGTGTACAAAATTTTTAAAAGGATTATACTAAACAAAATGTTCTATAATCTTTTTACATGTATTTCACATAACATTCTCTTTTGAGATTTTAGAATTCTCAATAGCATTTTAGATTCAGAAATGAGTGGATTTGTCTCCTTCATATTTTTGTATGTAGTTTGGTTAACTTCATGAAAAGGAAAGCATTTTACCTAAATAGAATTTTGAACCAAAATCTGTTTTAGTAGTTTTTTAAAAGAATATTGTTTCCTGCTCTCATGAAAATGACTTCGTTAAAAGTATAGAAAATGTTAATGCTTGCATGCAAAAATGGCATAAGTATTAAGATGTGTTTAGATAATAAATAATGGAAATAGAGAATCTCCAGTATTGCTAAAGTAGACCATGAGTTGACTTGCAGGAGGAACTGATAACAAAAATAATCTTTCACTTGTCATTATCTCTGATGCCCCTACCATTCAGTTGTTAAAAACCTGTTAATTTCTCTCAATTTACCCCTTTACATTTAGCTTTAATTTCTCTCAGTCCACCTTAACTGTCTTACCTTTCTCATTGAATTATCTCTTCTTTCAATTACTTGTTCAAGATATCATAAATTCAAGCAGTTCAAAAGAGTTTTCTCTGATGATAAAAATACTTGTACCTCAAAAGCAGCTTTTGTTTAAATTTTTATTTTACGGATTCCATCATGATTTATGATGTTGATTTATTTTGAGAAAATACAAAAAATCTCTCTTACATTTAAAAATACCGGGAGCTAGATTTCAGAGATTGTTATTTGTACTCATTTTACTAATGTCCTTGTTTTTTAAAAACCTTTTTAAAATAAATTTAGATTTACAGAAGAATTCTAGAAATAGTACAGAGAATTCCTGTATACTCTTCACCCAGCTTCCCTAAATATTAATATCTTAATACCATGGTACATTTATCAAAATTAAGAAATCAACATTGATACATTATTAACTAAACTATAGAGTTTTATTCTAATTTCTCCACTAATGATTTTCTTCTGTCCTAGGATCTAATTCAGGATACCATTTGTATTTAGTTGTTATATCATGTTAGCTTCCTTCAATTTGCCTTATTTTTCATGATCTTGACATTTTTCAACAGTAATGCTAGGTATTTTGTAGAGTGTCCCTCAATTTGCATTTGTCTGATGTTTTCTCATGGATTAGACTGGGATTATGGATTTGGGGGAAGATACCATAGAGGTGAAGCACTGTAGTCATCACATCATATTAGAGGGTACATGACACCAACATGTCTTATTACTGGTGGTGTTCATCTTGATCACTTAGTTAAGGTGGCATCCGTCAGGTTTCTCTTATTGTAAATTTACTATTTTTTCTTTCCTTACTCTATCAGAAAGCCACTATTAAGAGCCTACACCCACAGGAAGGGAATGAATAAGCTCCATCTCCTAGAGGGAGGAGTATTTAAAGAATTTGTGAACATATATTAAAACCACCACAGTAGTAAATATTTGGGGGGACATACTTTGAAGCCATGCAATTTACCCACTAATTGTAGCATTCATTGGTAGCTCTTGCCTGCAGCAGTTATTATTGTGGTGGTCTGCTGGTGATTTTCTGTTTCTCTCATTCCTTCTACATGTATTATTTAGAATCCTCCTGTAAGGAAAATTTGTCTTTTCTCTCCCACTTATTTAATCATTTATATCAGTAGACTTATGGATATTTATTTATTTTTTGGGTTATAGTCCAATACATGATTGTTTATGGAGCAAATTGTTCTGCCTTGGCCATTGAGAGAAATTTCAGGTTGGCTCCTGTGTCCTTTTAATATGCCATGTTCCCATTCATTTTTTCCCCTAATATTTTGCTCAAAATGTTCATCAAGGATGGCCATAGATATTCATTAGCTGTATCTCACAATGAAAGAGGTTGATTAAAAATGCAAAATTAAAATGTCTTCTGATCGATTAGCACATGCTTTGTAAAAGGCACAATGCTAGACTTTGGATGAGTAAGCCAGTTTACCTTCACTCTCACAGATAAGTATGTCAAACATAAGAGTGGGGGGAAACAGATTCCAGACTACTTAGGGGGAGAAAGTATGAAGTGTTGTAGTAAATTAGACGTGAAAAGACTAGAGGAAATTCTGATTTAGGAACAGTCTGGATAGGATTTACTAGAATAATCTAATATAGGAGAATGGTGATTACAGTTGTAACTATAGATTTCTAAGCTAACATAATCCATTTTTTTTTTAACTTAAGTCAAAATTATATTGTAGACCAAAAACCGATTCCAAATTCTTGGGGAATAAAGGAAAAATATATTTAAAGTCTTATCATTTGCTATATTATTTTTGACCCTTTACCAAAATTTTGGCTTTGTGCTTTCTTATTTTAGGTTTGCTCATGGTCTGTCAACATTTTTACTATGTTTTCTGCAATTATAGTTACAGAAATATCTTTAAGCAACCTCAAATTTCTGAATTCTCTTGAACATTCAGTATATTAATAGTTTAGAAATAAGCTACTACACAATAAATGAGCAAGGCAAACAAAAACTCATAGACATAGACAATAGTATGGTGGTTACCAGAGGGAAAGGAGGGCGGGGATAGAAGAGGGTAATGGGGGTCAAATATATACCTTGGGTGATGTATTATAGAATTGTACACTTAAAACCTATATCATTTTATTAACCAGCGTCACCCCAATATATTTAATTTTTAAAAAGCTACTGTGGTAGTAGGTAATTTAAAATGTCTCAATGCAAATAACGCATAAGTAACATTCTTTAGGTGTGTGTATTCAATAAAAGGAAGAAGTTTGTGAGTTAGGCTTTGGTTGCCCTTCCCCATGTCTCTTGTGATGTTAGTAAAGCTTGCGGTGGTTTGGGAAAGAACAAAATACAGCTGACCCTTAAACAATGCCAAGGTTAGGGGCACCCATGGCCCACACGGTCTAAAATCTGCATATAACTTAAGTTGGCCCTCCACATACATGGATTCCCCACCTCGGATTGCATACTGTTAACCTTTAGACAATGTGAATTTTAATCCATGTATAAATGGACTCTTGCACTTCATATTGTAGTCTTGTTTAGCAGTGATTATTTCATTGCAGAGCAGAGCACTCAACTCATCTCTAAGGTAATGAATGCTACCTTAGTGGCCTAATGTCATTCACTGTAATGGTCCAGTACAGCTGAATCAGGGGGATGTTTATTGAAGGTCTGCTGGATGCCTGGCACTGTGCTCAGGGAAGTTGGTAAAATTCATAGTATCTGTTGTGTCAAAATTTTCTGTTAAAACTAAGTAACTATAGTACTAATCAATGATGTGATTATTCTTGCTACCTGAAATGTAAATTCTTAACATGTACTCATTGCTGATGTTCCACATTCTTAAGAATTTGGTCTAATTAAGGAGGAAACTATCAATAGTGCTAAAATCAGCAACTATTATTGCCTAATAAAAGCTGCATGGTATTAGGTATCAGTCTTTTATTAAGGGTAACATTTTACCATCATCATCCCCTTCTGTTTTTTTTAGGATCTCAAACTGGAAAGGATATTAGTTATTTAGTTCATCCTGTGATTCAGTCCCCTTCTTGATGACTTGTTTAAAAGCTTCTTATTTCCTTTTCTGACCTTTATTTTGCTGCTGACTAGGGCACTTTTTTTTTTCTTTCCTTGAGTTATAATTAAGGACAATAAGTATACTATTGATATAACCAAAGGATAAGTTTTAAGTAATACATGTCACTGTAAACCTGGGTAAAAATTGATGAATATTCACAGAGGTAATTACTGCTAAAAGTTTTATATCTTGCTTACATGTAAATATAATTAAAATCTAAATTTAAATTTTGAGTGATATTTGGGTTATACCTTAATAAGTAGGTAGCATTTAAAAAAAATAAGGCACAAAGAACAAAATTGAAACTCAGGTCTGCTAAAAAACAAACTAAATTCTGGATATTTTTATCCTTTTGAAATTGCTTAAAAGAATATATAGAACTGGTGGGACTTAGGAAGGATTTATGGAGGGATTCCTTTGGAGACTATGGGCAGACAGTCTATTGTTTTCAAGTCCATGAAGGAATTTCTGGGAGTGATCTCTGAGTCAGGCCTGGAAATGGTCAGTGTACGTAAACAGCTTAGCTTTCAATGTTTTCTGAAGACCGCTTTAATACAAGCTTAGGATGTTGGCACAGTTCTATGTTTGTATAAACAGCTTTTAATTTTACCACATCTTCAGTTTAAAATATATGTAATACAGGCTTTCAGAAGTTAAGTGATTTTTTTTTTTTTAAGGAGGAATTTCCAGGTGGATGCTAGGAAAGGGTGATAAAAGCCTCTTCATTGGAGGATTACTATGAAATAATGATTTGGTCTTGGAATTTGAAGGAGAGATTTATGTTTCATTGGCAAGAACAGTGGAAAGTTAACTCCCTGTATTCTAATACTGCAGAGAAAGTGGGATTTATCTAGCATAGTTTCTTGGGTTCTCCAAGAATATATATTATGTTTCTTTCATTCTTTCCTTAGATGTGGTATTTCACTTATTTCAAAGATCATGGGTAGCATTGTCTATCTTACTTTTACATAATTCTGTCCTGTTCAGTGATTCATGAAAAGGGCTTCTGCTATTGGTTGCAATTTTGGCTTCTCTTAAACCATTCATGGGCTTTGTAGGAGCTATTGTCTTCCTCAGTGAGCTGTTTATTATTTTTACTATGTTTTTTCATTGCAGAACTTACAATGCAATATGCTTTTTATTAATGTGATATTCTTTTTCTTTTGGCAGTGATTATTTATTCAAGTTACTTCTGATTGGAGACTCTGGAGTTGGAAAGTCTTGCCTCCTTCTTAGATTTGCAGTAAGTTGAAATTGAAATACCTTTAAAGAAATTAATGCTGTGTACGTTTTCTAGGTAGACAAGAAATTAAACAGTTTTATCCAGCACAAAAAAATTCTTCCAGAATTTATATATTTAAAGCCTCTAAGTATACATCCCCAGCGATATCTTGGAGTCTTAAATAAAAGAAATGCTGTTTCTCTTAAATAAATTTAGCTAAGTGTGGTTATAAAGTCAGAGTGATAGTTTTGGTAGTCAAAGAGTGTTTCATTCTAACATAGGTAATAAAGGTAAGGGGAAAATAGTTGGCTTGTGTTAAAAGTGATTTGTTAGAAAATGAATCTTCAAGTAAAAGTTTAGTAGAATAAAAAGCAGGGCCTGGTACAAACTTTTGACAGTGGCATAGTGTTCCATACGCTGAAATTTACAAACATGACTTTCAAGCTAATGAATAGAATTCAGTCTCCTTTATAGTGTTTATCAACTGCCTTCAAATTTAGCATGTTTTCCTTTTCAACTATCTAGATCTTTGGTTCTCAAGAGTATGGATTAAAGACCCCTGGGGATTATCAGGACCCTCTGAGGGGTCCATGAGATCAAAACTATTACCTTAATAATACTAAGCCATTAGTATTTACTAAGTAAATAATTCCTTAGAACTAAAAAGACCTTTGCCTCTTTCTCTGTGTTGACATTTGGTCTGATGATGCAAAAGCAGTGGTAGGGTAGAACTGCTTGTGCCTTAGCACCATGCAAGGCAGTGCTAAGGCCCAAACTGTACTCATAGTCATGGTATTTACCTTTGTTCACCCATAGCAGGGAAAAAACCATTTCACTTAAGAGTGTGTCTTTGATAAAACAGTAAAAATGGATGAGTTTTTAAAATCTTGATCTTTGAGTATTCTTTCTTAAATATTGTGAAGAAATGATGAGTATGCTTAAAGCACTTCACTGCTTACTATAGTGTGTTGGTTATCTCAAAAAAAAAAAAAGGCAAGTTTTTTTATTTTTTTATTTTTTACTTGAAAGAACAACTTACAAACTATAGTTATGTAGAACTAGATATTGGGCAGACATTTTCTCAAATGAACTGAGACTGTCATTTCAAGGGAAAAGATATAATTTTTTCCAAGTAGAATATTTGATAGCGTTTGCTGCCTATAATAAATTCAAGCTTTGAAAGGAAAATTAGAATTTTAGAAAACTTGTAATTCAGCACTGAGAGCTTGACAGCATCTTAGATACTTAATGACTTTTCTGATGAGATGAATGATTAATGAATGTCATTTAAAATATATATATAATTTTATTATATATCATAATTAAAAATGAAACCATGGAAGTACTAGAATAAAACATAGGTGATTCTTTAATCTTGTGTGAAAGTATTCCCTAACAAAAAAATTAGGAAAGAATAGATTATTAAATTGATTGCATTAAAATTAATATCAAGCACATAAAACTGTTAGAAAACAAATGGTACTAGCAAAATATATATATGAGGAAGGGATGATATTCTCTCAATATATAAAGCACACTTACACATTGATAAGAAAAGGATGTTTGTCCTAATAGAAATATGGGCAAATATATGAGCAGGCAGTTCACAAAAATAGAAATACAAATTGCCAATAACTATGGAAAAAATATTCAATTTTGTTTGTAATTAAAGGTTTAAAATGAGATTTTGCTTAATTTTTATTAAATTGGCAAATATTAAAATTAAGAATAATTCTTAGTATTGAATCAGCAATTGTAGGTAGGTGGGAAGAATGTGGCATCTCTTGCTGAAAATGGCTATATAGCCTGAGGTGTTTGTGTTTCAAAGACAGCCCTCTTTGGGATGCCTATTGCTCTGAGTCATAGGTTTTCAGTACTACCTACACAGTGAAATCACCCGAGAAACATTTAAAAAAAATACTGATTTCTGGATCTGCCAAATAAAGACAAGCTGCAAAAGGTATAATAAAGAAGTGCATAATAAGCTATGGGAGCACAGAAGGAAGGATCTCTTAACTATTGGCCAAGGAGTTGGAAAATGTTTGGATAATTAGTATTGCCTGGGTTCAAAATTGAAGATTGAATAAAAATTTCCATGTGACCCAGGGGCTGGGAAGTGGAGATATACAGAAAGAGATACTGAAAATTTGAACAGTAGGAAGAGCATGTGCAGTGACTCAGAGGCATGCAAATAAGGGTCATTTAGGGATTTACAAGAATTCTAACAGCATTTATAAGTATTTCTAACAAAACACTGGGCATGTAGAAGTGCTAAGTGAATGTTTATTGCATTTATTTTATTCTCTACTTTCTACAGTACCTGATATTTACTAGATTCACAATTTAAAATAATTTAAAAAATAAGTAGTGATAAGGAACATTTTGTTAAATTGAATTCAATTCTTTGATTCTACATGCACACAAGTGTGAATATATGAGGAAGAGAAGTCAGCATAGTTACCTCTAGCTGCTTGGAATTCCCTCTGATCACATTTTACCGTTTTTTTTGAAGAGAGCTTTTTTTTTCCAATCCCATGTATGCATCAGATTCAGCTTTTACGCTAGCTTCATTTAATCCTTTTTCCCCCTTCTTTGTTGGAGGGTAGTAATGCAGACCTCACATGTGTCATTTTCCCATTTACATATATGTCAAACTGTACATTTTTATATAAAATAACATTGATATTGTCAACTTAAAAAATAAATTTCTCTGTCTCAGAAGTGTTGGTATTACAGTTTGTTTGAGTCAGGATTGAAACATAGTCCACACATTCCATTTGGTTGATTTACAGCTTAGTCTTTTAATCTAGAGTTTTTCCTACCTCCCCCTTTTTGTGTATTTTTCACATCATTTACTTTTTGCAGAAACTGGGGCTTTCCTATTGATGGTGCAACATTTGAGATTTGTCACTTTGCTTCCTTGTGTCTAAACTTTTTCAGGTCCCTTTTGTTTCTGTAATTGGAAGTAAGCCCCAGAGCTATGCTGTCTTTATGATAGCTACTAGCCCCATGCAGCTATTTAAAGTTGAACAAAATTAAAAATTCAGTTTCTTTTTCTCACTAGTCACTAGCTACTGTATTGACTAGCTGAGCTTATAGAACCTTTCCATCAATAGATTTAGGTGTGATTAGATTTAGGCGTGTCTTTGGTGGCAGAGTATTTTGTAGGTGGTTGCTTTGTGCTTGCTAGGATTGTTCATCGGATTTGGGTGGTGATAGCCTGATCTCTCCATTCACATGTCTTTTTTTTAATCTACATATCTTTTCACAGACATTTTTACTTAAAAAAGAGTTTTGTTTCCATTCTGAGTAAAATATCATAACAGATACTTGAGAAAAACAGGTGTAATTTTTTAAGTTTATCATTGGGTTAAACATTGTTCACATGAAAACTTGTACACAAATGTTCCTAGCAGCATTATTTATAATAGCCAAAAAGTAGAAACAACCTAGATGCCCCTCAACTAATAAATAGACACAATATGGTATATCCATACAATGTGTAAGTACTGATATGTACTATAACGTGGATGAACCTTGAAAACTTTATGCCGAGTTAAAGAAGCCAGACGCAAAAGGCCACATATTATTATATGATTCCATTCATATGAAATGTCCAGAATAGGCAAATCCATAGAGAAATAAAGTAGATTAGTGGTTTCCAGGGTCTAGGGGAAGAAGAGGAAATGGAGAATGAAACTGCTGCTGTGTATAAGGTTCCGTCACAGGGTGATAAAAGTGTTCAGGGTGATAATAGTGGTGATGGTTGCACACCATGTGAATATATGAAAAACCACTGAATTGTACACTTTTTAAAAGGGTAAATTTTATATTATGTGAATTTTTAAAAGTCGTAACTAGAAAATAAAACCGACTTCTAAATCTGGGAGTGATTTGATCATTGCTTTGTGATAAATAAACTGGATAGGATAAGGGGGAGCAAGACTTTCACTGATTAGCAATTAGGAAATCATAATCATTGAAAATACACAGTCTTTTTCTATATAATGTATGTAAAGAATTTGCCAAAAAAAAAAAGTTTGGAAAATTAAAGAATAGCTTTTGAATAGTACTTTATAATCAGTATATGAACTGAGTACTGGAGCAGAATGGTGTAGTTGTTCTCAACATGTTATGTCTTATAAACTTTATCAACTTAGTAGATAAAAGTTAACATTATTTACTGTATTTTTACTGTATTGAACAGTAATTTGAATCATTAACTTTTTTCCCTTCAGGATGATACATATACAGAAAGCTACATCAGCACAATTGGTGTGGATTTCAAAATAAGAACTATAGAGTTAGATGGGAAAACAATCAAGCTTCAAATTGTAAGTAATCTTTGGACTAGAAGTTTAAAAAATTATTTTGGTAAATTTAGAATGTATTTTTTATTGTTAAAAATATCTTTAAAAATCATGCATCTGTGGTAGAGGGGTAGAATAAGAATTGTTTAAATTAAAAATGATTTCTCTTTAAGATTACCTTCCTCATTGAAGTTTGTGTTCATAAAGCAGAGAAATTACATGTTTTAAGTCAAACTTGGTCCTAGGTCTTTTTCTTATGCTTTTATCAATGGGATCTAAGTTGAAGTGTACTTTTATAGCAGAAATATATTGAGCATCTTCTTTATGTCTTTTACTATGCTGAATTCAATGGAACATGGAAAGAAATCTGGGGAGAGGTTCTTTGTATGTGGCTTAGTTCAAGAGTTTAGTTGACCCTTGAACAACGTGAGTTTTAACTGCGTGGATCCGCTTATACCTGGATTTTTTTGTTAACCCATGAAGTTCAGTTGATTAGCACAGTTCATACCTGCATTGTTCAAGGGTTAACTCGCGATTGGGAATCCGAGTATATGGAGGGCAGACTTAAAGTATATGCAAATTTTTGACTGCTCTGATGGTTGGCACCCCCTGCGTTGTTCAAGGGTCAACTGTATTTACTGAGTTCTGATGTATTCATTAGATAGTATGTACCAACCATAGAATTTTACTGAAAAAGAACTTTGCTTTTCTAACATGTTTTACAGCTCAGAAAATGGCTGCTGAAAATTTTAATGACTTGCCCACAGTTATTAGCAGAACAAAGTGACCCATAGCTGTCTTCAGTATTTTGTGTCCCTGTGCCATTCTGGCCCCCTTGAACCCATCCTTTCAACCCCAAATTAAGAATAGGCAGTAGTAAGAGTTCAGTTGTTAGCACGTTAATATGGGTCTGAGACTACCAATGTGGACATAGGTATGGTCTTTAAAAATATTAATCTCTGGGTATCTTTTAGAGCTAGCTATTGGTATGAGGTAACAGGAAACCAGTGACTGTTGTTTTCATGGAACTGGTATTATACTGAACTGGGAGTTCCAGATTTGGAGTCAGAAAACTTGGATTTATTGTCTTCATTGTGATATTCATTAGTTAGAGGGTCATAGGTTTAACTTACTTTTTAATTTTTTTCCTGAGACTGTTTATCTCTAAAATGAGTGTGATGATACTTGATTTACTAACTCATAAGGTACTTGTGAGAAGGAAATCTAGTAGCTCTGTGTATAATGTGTACGAAAGCCCTTTGTAAACTTCTAGGTAGTAGAGTAGTCCCCCCTTATCCACAGGGGATGCCTGAAACCACAGGTAGTACTGAACCCTATATGTACCATGTTTTTTCCTATACATTACATAACTGTGATAAAGTTTAATTTATAAATAAGGCACAGTAAGAGATTAATAAAAAGTTTTAACATTATACAGTAATAAAAAATTGAAAGTGGTCTCAAAGTATCTTACTGTACTGTATTCACACTTCTCGTGATAATAAGAGATGACACAATGCCTATGCGATGAGACGAAGTCAGGTAGATATGCAGGACAAAAGGATGATTTATGTCCAGGGTGAGATGGACTGTGCAGGTGCGAGATTTCATCACACTACTCAGAATGGCATGCAATTTAAAACTTGAAGTTATTTCTGGAATTTTCCATTTAATATTTTTGGACCACAGTTGTCTGCGAGTAACCACACACACTGAAAGCAAAATGGCGGATAAAGGGCGCTACTATATATATATATATATATACACACAAATATTACTGATAAGATATACCCAGACGAATGGACGTTTGATAATTTTTATTTAGTTGTTCCCTTATATGACTCTGATGAAGAAGGTACATTACAAAAGAATTGTGGATTCTAATACAAGTAAACACATTTGATACTCCAAATGAGGACTTGCCAAGGATATAATTATCATAGATAGCGTGAAATACTTAAAACCAGTTAATTGATTACTGACCATATTGATTTTTTCCCCTTTACATGTAGAACTTTATACTTGGTACCATAAAGAATATTTCAGAAAGATGCACCTAGCCTCTAACTACTGATTTGAAATAATTGTGTTATGTGTGATCATTGGTCTCTGTAAGAGTTGTGTGTATATTTGTAAAACATGCAAATATGCTACTTTCATTTGGCTGGGACAGATCTTAATAGGTTACTCAGTCTTTCTTTCATCTTCAGTAGGAATTTCCCTATCTAGTGTCTTTCTTTGAACATTTTTGGGAAGCTCACCGTTTTTCAAAGATAGTTCCATTTATAAATAACCTCTAATTATTCTTTGTATTGAAGCCAGTTTCCTTTAACTTCTGTCTCTTATTCCTCTGCCTTTTGGAGCTGCCTGAATGAGATTAATTCCTTTACTGTTGGCAGCCTGCCCTTTAGATTGATCTTATCACAACCTCTGTTACTCCTTTCTGTAAGCATATTTTCAGAACCTTTTATAATTCGAGTTACTCTTGCATTTTATACATGCCTTTTATTAAAATGTGATTCATAAAATCAAGTACGAGATAATAGTCCAGCCAGTATGAACTACATGAGATAAATCCTCTTGCGATTGGACTCTGAATTTTTTTTTGCCCCTCTCTTGGACTTCAAGGACTTGTGGCCTTTTGTCATCATTAATCCACTCAAAGATATAAAAAAACAAGCACCTGAATTTACTACATTTTCTGTCTCAATAGCTGCTTATCTACTAGTTTGGAACTAATGGCTTTGGGCTTAATTTTTTTTAAAAGCCTTATCTTATACTTAATGACTTTCATTTTTAAATTTAAATGCAAGATTTTACTTTTAATCCCATTACATTTCATCTTAATTGGCTTGAGTTACCCTTCCAAATTTTCTAGATCTTTCAAAATGTTTTGTGTTGATCTATATTTTAATTATTCTTTATGCTTTTCCTTTTCAAGTGTGCCATCTGTATTCTTATCAGACTTAGTGATTACAAAACATTCAGCAGGGCAGGGCAGGTACAGTGTTCAGTCTCACAACATGGAAGGAGTCTTTCTGTGATTGTTCATTCATTGATGAAGCATTGGAAATGCTTATTACATTACACCAGGCACTTAGATGGATTCGACGTTACAGAGGTAAGTGCAACAGTCCCCTAGGAGGAGATCCCATTTCAGTGGGAGAGACAAACATGGGAAAAGGAGTTACTCTGAGATTATGAGGGGTTATATAAAAAGGGTGATCAATTGCAAGGAAAGTACTGCTAGTACTGGAGTCAGGAAACTTTAGAGTGGCAAGGAGACATCAGAAATTTTACTCTTTGGATGCCATTGCTTAGTTAGCTACAATTCTTTAACATTTATTCAGAAATAATTTCTTCCTTTTTTTTGTGCTACTTTTGTGTAAGGAGTTAGTGGTGCGTAGAGAAGGGAGAACTCTCTTCTGTATATAATCATTACCCCTCATATTCACAGGGTAAGTGATTTTCCCGTGTTTGTCTCTCCCACTGAAATGAGATCTCTTATGGGGCTATGTTTCATTCATCTTTGTAACCTCAAATCTCTGAGTGCCTGGTGTAATGTAAGCATTTCTATAATATTTTATCGAGTAGCTTCTATAGTCAGGCCATTGTGCTAGTAGGCATTTTACAAACAGTTCTTTTAAACCCATTTAGGAATTCTATAAGGTGAATGACTGACCTAGGATTTATAGATGAAGAAACTCTTAGGTGACTTTCCTTAGTGTTATTTAACTAGGAAACTAGGTTTGATGTTTTAAAGTCAGGTTGGCTTGACTCCAAAGCTCATGCTTCTCCAAAGATATTCTGAAAGACTTTGATGCTCTTTACTGATAGTGTTCTGAGCTTTCAAGCTAGTACTTTGAACAAAGAAGGTAATGAAGGTGTGATTTGTTTTTGATTGTTTTATATTAGTGATGTTGACTTTATTTGCTTCATTATTTTTTTCCTGGAGTATATTACAGACAATAGATTTTACTCCAAACATACTTTAGTATACATCTGTTTTACTATGTAACCATTACCACATCTCACAAAATTGACACTAATGCCTTAATATCATCTAATATCCACTTTGCATTCAAATTTCCCCAAAATTGCAACTTGTTTTTAACAGCCTTGTGTTGGCTGAGTCTTAGAAAAGAAAGTGATTTCACTGACTGCTCCTGAACCAATTTTTAAAATTTTGCCATTTAAAATGTTAGTGGGGATCAGAGTTCACAGATATACTCCAAAACTTTATAATTCACTCCCCCTAAAGACTTGCATTTTAATCTCCACTTGTCTTAGATTTCAGGTCCCCCCCCTCTTTTTTCCCCCTTATTTTTACAGTAACTTGTTATTTATTTACCCATCAGTCAAGATGTTACCTTTTAGTGGGGTAGGTAGCTGTCCTAATGATACAATTTTTTTTTTGAGGCCATTGTCTAAGATCAATTTAAACAAAATTCTCATTGCAATCTAAGATTGAGTTTTCCTCTTTATTTTTAATAATTTGTTTAAAACACAGACCTTTCATGTAGTGATATAAACATTTGTTTTTGGTATTTGAACCTAAATGATTGAAGTATATGGCATATTGCTCTTAAAATGAATTTTATAAAAGTATTTTGATTCATCTTCCTTAACATTGTTTTCCCTAGGATTAAGGTAATACCTTTCCAGAGATGGTTCAAGTGTTATCTTCACAAGTAGTTACTTGAGTTAGGTCATTTCAGTGCTTTCCATGATGGTAAAATGTGCTAGCAAATGATTTTGTCTTATGTGAGTATGCTGTTAAAGGGGTTAGTTAGGCCAGTAGCCTTCATAATCAAGTCAAGCTTGTTTCTCCATTCATACTGAATGCCTCACACAGTGCTAAGGGGGCTGTAGGGAATAAGAAAAATATGACAGAGTTCCAAATCTCAAAGAGCTTATAATATTGGTAGCATTACCATGAGCTAAAGTGTAGGCACTGCCTTTATTTCTGGACCTTCATGTATTTGTTGATTTACCATGCACTTTAGTAGTATGAGCATTGAGAGCTAATATTTCCATATCAAATCCTGGTCATTTCTATAACTATATAAACTAAACTGTTCTCCCTCCTGCCCTTTTCCCCAACTCTTAATGGAATTGTTTGGATTTCTTGATTGTTTTATAATAGTGGGACACAGCGGGCCAAGAAAGATTTCGAACAATCACCTCCAGTTATTACAGAGGAGCGCATGGCATCATAGTTGTGTATGATGTGACAGATCAGGTAAGTTCCAGGAGGAAATTGTGTTACAATGACAAAGTAGGAAGTAAGTTACTATTTGATAAATATCAGATTATTTTGCTTTGCATATAAGCCATCAGTAGTATTTATATGGCAGAAAACTTTGTCCACTCCCAAATAAATGAATCGCATAAACATTTGTTTTAAAGTGTTTTTTAAAAACAGGTACACTGTTATTTTTCTTCCCTTCATTATTTGGGTAGCTAATGAATCGGTCAACCAAAATTTCATATTATTTTCTTTAATAGAAAATTTAGTAATCGGTTTTACATTTGCTTTCAAGGGACTCTGGATATATTTATCAACTGGACATTTTCGTATCATAATTTATAGGGAACTGTAGGTTATTTGGTTTATACTGTGTTCTTGGTGTTAAATATTGACAGAAATTTGCGTGGCAATTAGATTTGTTAGAATTGCCGAAATGGTTCAGAAATAGGATGAGCTAGAGGAAGATTTTAAGAGGACAGTGAATATCTGAAGATTAGTTGTTGAGAGAAGGTAGCTGAAGGTAGTTGTTGAGAAGGGGTAGTGTGAAGAATGTGGTCCAAGGCCCCTAACTGTTCTTTTGATCAGAAAGAAAATTTCAGAGTTCTTTTATTTCCTAATAAAAAGATAAACGTTTAGAATTTATTTTTCTTATAGCAAATGTTAAGTCTCACCTCAACTATGAAATCATGGTTAATTAGGACATAACTGGAATCACAGGCTTTAGATTCAGGGCCACTAGAAGTATTAGGTGAATAATATCAACAGGAGGAAGAAATAGTACTAATTTCAAAAAATCTCAAGTCATTACCATGAAATATTTAAAAATGAAAAATTTCCTCTCCTAAATATGACTGGAAAAGAAAATAAGTATCTTTACTTTGGACCCATTTATTTACTATTTTTGACATCTCTACTAATAGTGGGGTCTTGTTCATAAACTAAGATGATCAAATTTTAATTAAAATTTATAAATTTGCTTGAGCTCTAGTTTGGTGCTGAGAAATATTTCCCTCTCAAATAAGGTATATTTTCATCCTCAAGCCTTCAAATTCTAATTTCTTATTTAGATATGGATAGTCATTTTAATATATCAGTTTACTTCTTTGCCAGCACTGTAGGCATTATTTTGTAGCTAGGGTTGTCTCATTAGCTCTTCTTAGGTCAAGAAAGACACTTAGGTTTATTACTTGCTTCATTAGAGCAGTTGTATCCAGAACTGTATTGTCATTTTTAAAAATGTCTGTCTTCTTAGGAGTCCTTCAATAACGTTAAACAGTGGCTGCAGGAAATAGATCGTTATGCCAGTGAAAATGTCAACAAGTTGTTGGTAGGGAACAAATGTGATCTGACCACAAAGAAAGTAGTAGACTACACAACAGCAAAGGTATGTTTAAAGTTTGATTTTCAAAGTGAATTTGAACGTGTTGAATTTGAATTACGTGGGCGTGGAGTCCTACAGTAACCACAACCATGTTAGCTTTTAAAATATGTGTTGTTTTAAAATATATGCGCTAGAATACTTTGAAATGACAATTCATGTGGTGTCTGTTTGGATTCAGTAAACTTAGTCTTTCCTTTCTGCCCATTTCAGATAGAAATGCACTAACTGAAAAAGATTTTTCAGTGTTAATTATGCCTTATTATTCTCTTAGGAATTTGCTGATTCTCTTGGAATTCCATTTTTGGAAACCAGTGCTAAAAACGCAACGAATGTAGAACAATCTTTCATGACGATGGCAGCTGAGATTAAAAAGCGAATGGGTCCTGGAGCAACAGCTGGTGGTGCAGAAAAGTCCAATGTTAAAATTCAGAGCACTCCGGTCAAGCAGTCAGGTGGAGGTTGCTGCTAAAATTTGCCTCCGTCCTTTTCTCACAGCAGTGAATTTGCAATCTGAACCCAAGTGAAAACAAAATTGCCTGAATTGTACTGTATGTAGCTGCACTACAACAGATTCTTACCGTCTCCACAAAGGTCAGAGATTGTAAATGGTCAATACTGACTTTTTTTTTATTCCCTTGACTCAAGACAGCTAACTTCATTTTCAGAACCGTTTTAAACCTTTGTGTGCTGGTTTATAAAATAATGTGTGTAATCCTTGTTGCTTTCCTGATACCAGACTGTTTCCCGTGGTTGGTTAGAATATATTTTGTTTTGATGTTTCTATTGGCATGTTTAGATGTCAGGTTTAGTCTTCTGAAGATGAAGTTCAGCCATTTTGTATCAAACAGCACAACCATTGTCTGTCACTTTCCATGCATAAAGTTTAGTGAGATGTTATATGTAAGATCTGATTTGCTAGTTCTTCCTTGTAGAGTTATAAATGGAAAGATTACACTATCTGATTAATAGTTTCTTCATACTCTGCATATAATTTGTGGCTGCAGAATATTGTAATTTGTTGCACACTATGTAACAAAACAACTGAAGATATGTTTAATAAATATTGTACTTATTGGAAGTAATATCAAACGTATGGTGATAAGTATTTTAATTCTATGGTTAAAGGGAAATAGAGCCTTTCATTATTCTTAAAACAGCCATTTCTGTGTGCAACCAGGGCATTGTAGACCTATCTTAGAGCAGCATTCAATATGTTTTCCAGATAATATATCCAATATATGACCTAGGGAGGCTTCTGTGCTGGGTAGGGATTTAACCAAGCTTAGTGGTTCAGGGAGATTAAACTGTATGAAAAGCAAGTTTAGGATGTATGCTTTCTAGCGCATTATCTTTGCTCCCTTCTCTGAAACCATTGGAAATGGTTTATTTGATCAACATTTTGTTAATTCTCTTCTGTGGTAGAGATAGAAAGCTGCACACCTTTCCTAATTGGCAAATGATCAGACTAACACATGTGCTAATTTTGTTTCTTCCATGCTGAGTCAGATGTTGACTATTTTATCCTCCACAATTATATAACAAGTTGGAGGAGAGTTAAAACATTAAAGTAGAAGGCAGGAAAAATTTACTATTTGATTGTCCTAATTTTAGAAATTATATCCTTAAAAATTAACTGAAAACACAAATGCTAGGTGGAAATGATGAGAGAAATATATTTATTTCAGTGGAATTTTGCACATGTGAAAATTTTGTTAAATAGGACCTTAAAAATCCTAGGGTTTGTTTTTATTGTGGGAAACAAAAATCTTTTGCTAACACTGGCATTTTAAGGTGATAGAAATCAAAGACTGTTTCCTTGGGATTGACGTAGCTACCAAAAACATTCTTAGAGGCTTGGGATGTGGCTGTTGGCAACACATTTTATGGTGGGGTCTTGAATTCAATGATAAAATTTAAATAAAACCAAGCCAAAAATTATAGGTTTCTTTATTTTCACTAAACAGGCAATTTAAATACATGGTACAAAAATAAGTCGTAAGATTATTGTAAAATGAAATGGACAGAATATTCAATTTAATTTTCCATCTATGAGAATTTCACAATAAAATCATAGTTTACTTTGTATTATAGATGTGCTTGTTGGATCTATTCATCCTCTCATAAGGCAACTGAAAAATTAAAGTTATCGAATAGTTATTTGGGTGAAGATTTTAAAAAATGCTTCAAAAGATCTGTTTTTTTGCCTTATAGTATAAAGGGGGAAAGACTTCAGAAACTATTTTCTAAAGTAGATAAATGATACAAATGTTAGATGTGATGCCACACACTTCAGTTTTATATAGCAAGTTGTTCACACTGTCAGCTTATTCTTGATGAGTTAGCATAAAACATGATGTGAATTTAAGATGTAAGTATATTTACATTACTTAGCTTTGAAAATGCTAGTGGTGTTCTCCCATTGCAGTAAAGACGGGCTTACCACAAGATGTTTCAGCATGCTCCACTATTTGCTTTTATGAATATGCCAATATACCCCCATTTTCAAGTACACACATTTCAAGCTACTATGGGCTTTAAGTGAATAAAGGGAATTATCGCTCATCACATTATAAATCTAAGGGGCTGCTGTGAATTAGCTTACTAATAAGTTAAGACTTCTAAAAGTAAGCAGTGTTCTCTCTGGGATATGCCTGCAGAATAAGTCATTCCAGTCTGAGCAATAACTTCCTGTTCTTTGACCTTGGACTGAAACTTCCTTTAACATACAAACAAGATGCCATTACACCAACCCTTCTTTATCTTCCCATTAAAACTTCAAAACAATCCTATACTGACATTATCTCCTATTTGCAGATGAACTTAGTCATGGAGCTGCAGCAGGAACCCAGGTCTTCAAACTACCAATACAACTTAGTGCTGCCACTTCCCTGTGGACTTAAATTCTAATTTAAAGGGACTACTAGGGAATTTTACTACAGGTAAACTTGGGATTTCATAACAACCCTTATGTCACTGTAGGCCACCATTGTCCTTAAGGCTAATATGTACCACTACACACTGGCCAGCCAGGCACCTGAATCTAACCAGGCCATGTCTGCTGATGGAAATGCTGCTGGCAGCAACTTCCTAAGCTAAAACAAATTTAGCTTCAGTTTTAAGGGAGGCCTTCAACTTTTTATAGCACTGCTGAAGGTATAATTAGCAGTTGTGTTGCTATTCTTCAGTGGTATTCACAGCGAGGTCCAGAGTAAGCACCCTTCAATCGGTTGTACCTTATTTCAAAGGAGATAAACAAAATCACCTAGATCATCTCAAGGTGAAGTAGTACTTTCTTGGGAAACAGGGTACTCTGAAATAAAATACCCTGTGTAAATTCCTGTCAGTCAAAGCTGATTATAAATAGGCTGAATGGGAATAGAATGGCATATTCAGCATTCAATTACTATAACATTGGCCAGTTTATTTCTATAGCGTTGTCACCTTCAATTTTTTTTGCTAGAGACTTATTTTCATGACTATCGAATACTAGTAAATAAATGGGTTTAACTCCTAAGGGCTATCCAGTGTAACAGAGTCAGTGGAAAGACATGTAGCAATTTAAAACCATATCAAAGAGAAGGTAAAACATATCAAATTTTAAAAACAGGTCATTAGACATATCTGCCTTTTTAATCAATTCTAGGCTTTTATGACTATTTTACATATATAATTATTTGCTAGGGAGGTGTTTTGTCTTTTAAAGTCTATGGAACCAAGATTAATACAGAGAATCATAATACAGGGAGAATAATACATGGTTTAATAACTCTGATCATGCCTTTGAACATTATGGTAAATCATACCACAGTAGCAGCAGGCACTTGAAATACTGAATTTTATGTAGCTACTATTGAATTTTATAATCTTTAGAATTTAACCATTTAGTTTCCAATGACTATAAAGTCTGAGAAGGCAGAAAAGTTACATTTAATAATTAAGACTTTAGTTCATATTGAGGTGGATGAGATTATATGGCTCAGCCCCCAAATGAAAGTTCTTAATTTCCTTTAAAGAGGATAATTTTGAATAAATATTTTGTTCTGAGGGGATATTATAAGTCTGATTATACTGTTCCAACATCACTTTTGGGTTCAAGATGACTTGTTCATTTTTTTTTATAAACTTAAAAGATCTTCCTTTCTTAAGCACCTTCCTCAAGTGAGAATGTGGAAGGAGTTTGAAAAAAGACCTTTAAGTGCTTACCTCACATGTATTTAAGTGAAGTAAGAACCTTTTCCTTAAGTCTTAGCCCACTGCAGTACTCAAAACATGAGAGAAAATGTGCTTTCCTACACATTCCTTCATGGCCCAGTAGAACTTTTTTTTTAAGTGCTGCTTGTAGAATCTGTGGTTACCAGTAATAGCTGATAATTTTGCTTTAAAAAGATACAGAATTGATGCTTTAAATAGTTTATCCTGAATTTATTTCTATCAAGGTATTTATACGTTGACTCTCAAGCAACAAAGAATTCCCTTTTATCCTTCACTATAGAAAGCCTTACTTTCTGTAATTATCCATGCCCTTCCCTCGCCTGACCTCCTCTTCCACAGGAGAGTAGGAAAGGACAGCATGCATCCTCCTAGAAGTACCCTTAAGGTGGATTAGTTCCCTAGCCCTGCTTAAGTTCAATGGTAGTTCCTGAAGTGCCTGGTACATTTTCCTTTACGATATTAGTTAGGTGGGCTGATGGAGACTGAAGCCCTAAGCTTCACTTTATTAATAAGACCCACGTTCCTGGCCAAGCATTTACTCTTGGGTCCTCCTGTATGCCTGGGAGTAAGTACCAAGTATTTGGTATTTTTTCTCATACCAGCCTTCTTTAAATATCTTAGCAGGTGGACTAGTTTAGGAGCTCTATCTGCTCTTTTTAACGGAACAGAGTGGGAGGAAAGACCTATGAGCCTTATTAGCATTTTATGAAAAACTGCAAAGCCATATGCTCTTTGTGGAGAAGCACCAAAAGGAAAACCTTAGTTTGGAAGGGCTCATTTTAAATAATAGTAACTCAATAGCCCTTAACTTCAGAGAAGAAGTGAAAGGCATTTGAAAGCTAGTACATTATAGTTTACCCCTTAATATCAATGTTAAATGGCTCTTACAAGGACTTCCTGAAAGTTTCCCACCAGCCAGGTTTTGACAGATTACATCTCTGCCTGAGAAGATGCCTGAAAAAGAAAGAGAAGCATTTGTTATAAGCAGAATGCTACAGAGGAAGAAACGACAACAGCCATCACGTGCTTTCATTTTAGAACTAAAATGACTATTGCTCCAATTTCTTTGATGTAAATACATGGATTCCCTGCTCTTGACATACCTGGATTTTATCCTTTACCTTCTTTTGTCTACAGTGAATTCTAACCTAGAAAATCCGAGTTAAGCACTACATTTTGGTTGTAGGAGGGGCAGTTTCAGAGATAGTATGGCCCAGTTGTAGAATCATAAAGAACAATGGGCAGTGGCAACCCCACTGCAGGCACCAACCATCTCCCACCCCAACTCTTAGCCTCTTACCTATTATTCTGTTTGACTTTCTAAGATCAAAAGAAAGTTGTACTTTTAAGTATCCAGGCCTGTTATCCTCAACTATCCCCCGCAGCCCTTTTGGGAACTGAGTGTTATGGGAAGTTTGCAGAGACCTTTTGTGGGGAAGGAAGGTGTGGGGAATTATCAGAACTGAGTCTCTGGGCACTTGGTGCTGTCAGGAGTTGCTTGGAGATGGACCAAATGAGCTGGGCAGACATAAAAATGTAGGTATAGGTAAGTTTTGCTGCTGTTGTCCTTCGGTGGTAGGGGTGGGCATGAGGGACTGCCATAGAAATAGGAGCATGGGGCACCCTAGTCTGCAGCAGGCTTTAAGCTAAATAATGGAAAGCACTGCAGTGAGCCTTCCTCACCACAGGAAGACCCCCAACCTTATGATGGCAGCATCTCCCTTGTTTAGTATTAGGGGCTTCTACCATCTCATTTGATTCAATAACTCTTGGCTCAAGTTTCTAAGAAGCAGCCAACTGTTAGAGCAGGAACTCTACCCTAATCCAGCACTGGGGTCCTAGGACAGATGTTCTTCTCTTGGGTTACTCTACTTACCAGGCTAATCCCAGTCACATCAGCACTCCTATGTGCTGCCAGTGGTGTGTTGTCAGGGATGAGGGTGCAGCCAGCCAGCATGTCCAGAGAGGCTAAGATAGTGTCATACAGGTGATCTGCTTGGCTCTCCAGCTCGCTGGGCTGCTTCGAGATCCTCCCAAGGACATCCTTTAACACTAACAAATAAGGTTCAGAGCACTTAGGCCAAAACAATCATGCAGGTGTATTTTCAAAAGAACATACAGTTGTAGCATTTCACACAATAGGAATATGGCATTAGTTTTAGAATGTACATCCTTAACAGTGACTCTCCAGGAACTGCTTTTGCACAGAGGATCTATGTTAACTTCTGATTAAAGCTAAGAGAATTTCACTGGCTCCATTTTGGAATTACATAATTCACAAAAAAGCAATAGACATGGTTCTGTGGTGTCTGGTACTGACTTTAATTTTTTTGGTATTACCTAACTTTTAGAGATAAGGCACCAGGCACACACAGATCCTGTGGGGCAAAAGGCTTAAATGAAACCAAACAACATGCCAACATTAGGGCTCTGGGTCCTACTACCAGGTCCTATCAATTTCTGTTGGCTGGGATGCTGTCATTTAGCATGTGTACGTACGAGTGGTCTGGTACCATTATTTGTGAATGCTTGTGAACCTTTTTGTGGGTCTTAAATGAACAGGCTTCAAAAGAAAATTATTTGAAAGCAGGCAAAGACGAGATGGTTAGTGATGCCAAGATTGCATCCTATAGGCCAAGTGTTCATTTGAGGAAGGGATGGGCTAGGTTCAGAGTGCATCGCACACAGCAGGCTTATTCTCTTAAAAACTTTATTTCCTTTGTTAAACACAAAGGCTGCTTTAGCTTCCTGTGCATTTATCAGCTGTGTTAACACTCTCCCTAGTTTCCTGCCACAGCTGCAACATCTGCCAGCAGCGGAAGGGAAAGGGGAAGCTGCAGAGGATGCTGATGGGTGGGCAGAAGGAGCACAAGCTAGTTCTGTTGAGATCGGTTCCCAGGGAAGCCACATCAGTGCACCGTCATCAGTGAAAAATGCCGTCCTGACAACTCATGAGCTGGCCCGGCCTGGCAGAGGAATGCAGCCAGGGTATGCAGCACAGCTTGTCTGTAACGGCGCCTAGAGTGGGCTCTCCCCTCCACCAGAACTTTGCTCAGTCCCGCAAAGTTCCCTGTTGTCAGTGGAATTCAGGGGACCTTTATTTTTTTGAACTTTTAGAATGTTAGAATGTTTGAGGTCAAGTAAAAGGAAAATTAGGAATAGGAATGAAATCTTTCCCAGAGAAATTTTTATGTTTTAATTGATACATGCATACAGGTTCCTGGTTCAGCTTAATGCCAGTAGATTCCAGTCATGTGATACAGTATGATGAGGAGTTTGGGTGGGAGACAGGACCATCAACACACACACTCGAATGTAGTGAAAACCTGCCGGATTTCCATGGGGAGGCCTTTGGCAGGAGGCTGAGACTCGGATATTTTGTAGGGGGATCCATTTGGCTTACTGTCCCTACAGTTATACGCTGGCAGAGGAAGAAAGCGGGCTCTGACAGTGTGCTCTGAAGACGAGACCAGTTGTGCACCTAGCCCAAGACCCTGTGAATATCAGGGGGAACTTGTGATTTTCACAAAACAGCCAAGTTTCTGATTATACCAACAGAGGTTCGGGAGAGGCAATGTGTTTATCTGAAGAACCTGGATACATATCTGAAAAGTCACAGAAACCCCAGAGCCTCTTATTTTGGCAGTAAAATAGCTCTACAGACTCTTTTCAAGAAAGTCAAAGTGGGATGTACTTATTACAAATTAAGCACTGGGAAGTGATTTTTTTAATTCGAAGTCAAAGAACCTATAGCTTTTAAGAAGCCCATTGTTACATGTGGCCTCTGGGAAGTTTCCTGTTATTGAGCAACTTCTTCACTGATGGCAGCGTGGGAGCCAACAGAGATGGGCTGGAGCCAGGCTGCCACTCTCGTGTGGCCCAAGGCAAATTCACAACCCCAGTGAGGTGACATATGACATGACATATCAACAGCTTCAGCACAGTGTCTGGCACACAGTGTTCAGTAAAATGTTGGTGTAATTACAGGCAGCAAATGAGCCTGGCATACTGAATTTCTGCCTCCCAAAAAACCAAAATACCCTAGTGCAAGAGAATACCAGAAGAGCCAAAATAAAGGCATCCAGAGGACAAATGGTTCACATAACCTGTACTGGATAATCACAGCCCTATGGAAAATCTTGCAGTGGCTCCATGGCTCACAGAAACCCCTCTGCCCATTCAGTTCTCCACCCTAGTGATTCTTCTTCCCAGGGACATTGGGTAACATCTGGAGATATTTTGGAGTGTCACAAATGGGGAGGAGGTGCTACTAGCATCTAATGGGTAGAGGCCAGGGATACTGTTAAACATCCTGCCATACACAGGACAACTCCCCCTCACAACAAAGAATTATGTGGCCCAAAATGTTGATAGTGCCCAGGTTGAGAAACTCCATTTCATACCACCTCCCTACTATGTACCTGCCCATTAATTCTGCTCAGGAAAGTGCAACCTCATTGACTCACAAGCCCACGGGTCCTGCCCAGCTTTGCTTACAGTTTGCTTCCAGCGTAAACTCCACCTCACTCCAAATCTGAGGCACAATATACATGGGGTCTTTTAGCATTCAGATGTTCAGTCTTACAGGAAATCAGGGACTGCTTTTGGGTGTCTATCAGTTACTCGCTTTAACTAGTATTCTCCTAGTTTATCCTTATATCTGCTGACAGCAAGGGCAACAGTGACTGCAAATCCATGCATCCTGCATGCTTAGATGTAATCAAAATCTGACTTTCCTTTTCTTAAATGAGGAACCCTCCTACAAAATGGACTCAAGCTTAATTTGCACACCACTGCTACCCTGTCCCCTTTCATAAGTTTTTTTAGTTTATTCCCTTAGAATGTCTCTCAAATCCTAAAACAAATCCTTCCCCAAAGCAGATAAACAGGGATTCAGCCTTCACTGGGAAAGGAAGGGAAACCCCTAAGAGCTCCCCGCTGTGCACACCCTACCAGAAAACCAAGGACAGCCAGATTAAAACCAGTATTCCCACCCAGGACATCACCAGGAAAAGATAAGAGCAGGAGCAAGAGTGTCATTTTTATAGGCTCGATGCGTGACTTCTCCTCAGCTTACTGTATGACTTACAACTGCCTCATGGCGCGGTTGCGGGTTCAGTGACGATGTGAGGGACTGCCAGCAAGTCACAGGAATGTAAGGCAATGGGTGCGCGTGGGAGGGGCTCCAGCACTATTGGCTCCTTACCAGTGACAGTGTGGCTCCCTGGACTTGCTGCTGAGAGGCATTAAGCACTTGGCTAAATTCAGAGACTCAAACATCTCACCTGGGGTGTTCTCCAGTAGGCATTGAAGAAGAATCTCCCCTTTCTGTAAGACACTCTCCGTCAGGGACTGGTGTTCATCCATATCTTTCTTAAATTGCTTAAAGCATATGAGAAAAAAAAAAAAGAAGAAAAAAGCTTCGTTACTATCATTTTTAAAAGTTACTAAAAATGATCTCTCTCGTAGCTTGATTCCCCTATGACATGGAAGATAAACCGACCCAGTCTTCAGAACTCTCCAAGTAAACAGTGTTAACAGTTTAACTTCACCTTCTATGAGCCCAAGGTAAATATAGTCAATCGTTTTTTTCTGTTTATAGTTTGACAAAAGAAGAGTTTTCCTTGGCAAAGCCTGGCTCATGAACAGCTTGGAGTCAGGGTTCTCTTTAAAAACTCACAGGGCCATGGGCTTCTCAAAACACTGTCTTCTATTCTAATAGACCTGGTAAGAGCCACAGGAGATTATGCTAACCTGACCACAGGGACCGCTACCTCAGCTCACATCCTCTCTCAATGTCCTGCTCTTAGACCTTGGGAAGGCATCAGGGAAGCTGTGGGTCTCCTAAGCAGCTGATTTATTAGCCCCTTGCAGGTACCATGCCTTGTATTTGATGGTTTTTGATGTTGCCTTAGCTGCTATGAAATATAAAGTCAAGTCCATGACCACTTTGGTACAGGGTACAGAACTTAGTTCGTATTTTGAAGTTATAATTTTACTCTTGAATTTACTATATACCTGTCTTCAGTTTTCCTTTGCCGTAATACCTATGCTTATTTTATTCTTTAGTTCTCTTTGTAGTTTATATACTGCCACGAAACCACTGTGTTATTAAGACAAAGTATATGAGGCAGAGTCACAGTTAAAATATGTGAATACACACCCATACTCATCCTTATGTTAAGTATCTAAGCATGGGTCAAGGTAGCTCATATATATCATGCACCATTCTGTGTGGGGGAGGGGCTGACAGTGCGGGTCCCACAGTTGTCTGGGTGACACAAGAGGGCTAGGCTTCACTGACCTGCAGGGCTAACTCCCATCTCAGATCTCTGCTCTACCCACAAAGCAAGAAAGTTGCTTCTGGCTAGCTTAGAAATCGAGGCACAGAATGGAATGAGGGAATGAGTTGTTTTGGCACCAGTGAGGTACTCTGGAAAGGCCACCCAGGTTAAGTCCGACAAAGGCCATTTCCTCTCTCTACAATGGAACTCCCCCGAGCCTCCTGGGGGTGGGCCCTGCACAGCTATGTACACACACTTGGGCGCTGTGCACGGAGGACCCTCATCCTCAGCCTTCCTCTCCTTCCTCAGTGTACTCTGGGAAAGGAACTCCTGGCAACCTCTCTCCACACAACAGGAAACAGCATTCCCACTAGGGTAGGGCAGGGCAGCTGGCCCACCCAGGCAAGGCCCTTCTCTTACATTTTAGTTGGCTGCAAGTTTGAAAACAAAGGCCTCCCTCCGGCCTGGGTGTGGTGAGAGCTCTGAGTAGGCTCAGCCACTTGTAAATAGCTCCCTCTTTTGCTGAAGGCACAGGGTCAGGTTATATGGTGGCAGAAATTCAAAGAACCTCTTCTAGGCTAGCATCAGGCTCAAACCACAAATACCCCTGGCTCCTTCAGAAGGTTATAAAGGCTTGGCCAACCAGACAAGTAGAAGTCACAGGTAGTTCAGTCAAGGTTAATGTTATATTTAGGGTAACTGTATATTTATTATCCAATTCAGAACATGAATGGGAATGAAGAGGGACATATTGATAATTATGCCAGAACAGCAGGCACAAACTCACCCTAAAAATACCCGATTCAAAGTCATTAACTAGAACCACATTTAAAGAGATTTTTAATATAACAAAATCTCAATGAAAAAGAGGCAAAAACACCAAAAATCAAAACATACTGAGAAGCAAATTGAGTTGTATTTTTGTTTAAATACCATCAAAATAACCTATGTATATTCTGGAGTCAGTACAATTTCAGCTCGAATACTTAAAAGAGCAGTCAGTATAGTCCCACAGAACTTTGTTATGATAGGAATGTTCTCTCTCCACTGTTCAATATGGTGGCCAATAGACAAAAGTGATGATTAAACACTTGGAATGTATCTAGTGCACCTGAGAAGTCTGAATCTTTTAATTTAAATAGCCATATGTGCCATAGTAGTACGGATATATGTTTATCGATCCCTGAGATATTTGGAAAATTACATTGCAAATCATTCTTAAGTATTTTTGATCAGGATAAGTATGTTTTTTTCTCCAAACTCTATTTGGGCTGGGAAATAACTTACATTTTACAGTTTTTCAACATCAAGAATTTTAAAAGGGCCTCTGAGTAGATTTCAGGTAAAACACTCAACTAAGCCACAACATAGCAGCATCAGTTATTTGAGTTTTTACTTTGTAATCAAGTAATTTAGCCACCCCCCTTGTGAGTGAACAGCCAGAAGCCAGGACCACATATTACCCGGTAAAGCTGCAGAGAAGACTTGAGACCTGTAAGGTCAGACTTGGGTGGAGTCAAGTGGTTGGTAACGTCTGCTACATTATATAGCCAGCGGATCAGCTCTTCTAGCTGACAGCAAAATGTCTGTGTAGACAAATAAAAGACATGTGCTGTTTACATTTTCGAAAGGCTATAAATATCCAGGAGATTCTGAGAGATGGACTATGTACCTTTCTAATACATTTCTTCACCTGAGGCTCTAGTCTCCTCTCTCCTCCCCTGCCTGTCCCCCACCCCATGACTTCCAATCTCCACCAGGGCAACAGGAAGAGCCCCACCTTGCTTTGGTCTCCCCTCACCCTGACGTGATACCAAAAATGACAGAAAATCCAGCCCTGAATGTGGGAACAGGGCACAGCATCATTTTTGAGTTTTTACTTTGTAATCAAGTAATTTAGCCACCCCCCCTTGTGAGTGAACAGCCAGAAGCCAGGACCACATATTACCCGGTAAAGCTGCAGAGAAGACTTGAGACCTGTAAGGTCAGACTTGGGTGGAGTCAAGTGGTTGGTAACGTCTGCTACATTATATAGCCAGCGGATCAGCTCTTCTAGCTGACAGCAAAATGTCTGTGTAGACAAATAAAAGACATGTGCTGTTTACATTTTCGAAAGGCTATAAATATCCAGGAGATTCTGAGAGATGGACTATGTACCTTTCTAATACATTTCTTCACCTGAGGCTCTAGTCTCCTCTCTCCTCCCCTGCCTGTCCCCCACCCCATGACTTCCAATCTCCACCAGGGCAACAGGAAGAGCCCCACCTTGCTTTGGTCTCCCCTCACCCTGACGTGATACCAAAAATGACAGAAAATCCAGCCCTGAATGTGGGAACAGGGCAGCAAAGGTGAGGGCAGGGACAGGGAACAACCCAGAAGAGGCATGCCTGCCCACAAAGACCAGTACTTGGGTCCGCACCATTGCTAACTATTGAATTGTTCCTGGGGAAAACGTAGACATAAATGACTATAATCGTGACTACCCTGAACATATGGCTAAAAACAACTGAATTAAAACTACATGTCCCTGTTCTGTTCTGAAACTGCCCAGGAAGCAGGGCCCCTAGACTCCTACTAGGCACCCATCCTGGGGAGGCTGTGAGCCAAGTACGTTACCTCACTGTTGCTCGATCTTTTACCACAAAGGAGGTCACATGCTATCATATGTCCTACCTGCTTCACAGTACAAATGAAATCATCCACGGGACGTGAAGGGCAGTGCTGAGAACCATCAGTGGCGCGGGCTCATCGGTACACGGCCCTCTGGCTGACTGCCCGGCTGCTGTGCAGACGTGGCATCCATGTGCTCACCCAGAGGGCAAGCTGTGGGACTCTCCCAATGTATAGAGGGTCCCATTCCTCCACAGCTGTGTCAGGACTGTGCAAAGCCCTCAACATGAATTATTTCATTTAATCTACACAATACCCCAAAGAGGCAAATCTCTACATTTAAAAAACAAACTCAAGAGTCAGAGCAGAAATTTCAAAGACAGCAGTACCATGTTTCAAATTCAGATCCTCTTGACACTGATGACCCTGTTCTACATAGTATTAATTTTATCTCCAGATAGTCTTGGGTGGTCCACAAGAGCGGATTTGGTGGCCAAGAAGTCTAGGAAATGGTACATCTAATGCCCTAACTCTGCAGTCACACCACTTTAATAAACGGAAGCTCTGAGCCAGAGTCCCGCAGTCGACAAGTACACTTACTTTCATTTAACACAGTGTTTCCTAAAGGCACCTGAGCACCAGCCCTCCTTGTGCAGAGTACTTCTTGACCCTCAAGGTCAAGAGCCTTGGGAAGCAGCCTAGGGTAGTGGTTAAGACCTCAGGCTCCAGTCCTTGCTAATTGTGAGTGGGCAGGTTACCTAACCTCTCGCTGTCTTTTTTTCCAACTGTGAAATAAGAATAGTCCTTATTGGATAGTGAACTGTGAGGATTAGATAGGAAAAAAGGTACAGTGTAGTGCCTGGCACATAAAACATGCTCACTGTTACTAAGTTTTATTATGTTAGTGGACTAGTGGAAGAAAAAATGAGATTCTACACAAAGCCTCTTAAATGTTGAGTTTACCTTCACACACTGCATGAGTGATTCTTTCTCCTGCTCTCCTCCTCTTCGGGGAGGCTGCCCTTTAGCATCTGGGTCTGAGAATGCCTGCTGGTCCAACATAGCAGGCAAGGAGGAGCGTGTTCTTAGTGGTCCAGAGCAGAGGCCCAGTGCCTGGCTGCTCACCAGACTCCCGTCCCCTGCGGAGTCCCTTGCATGAATGAAGGAGCGCAGCAAAGAGTGGTTCTGGCCCTCAGAGCCCCCGGACCCTCTGAGGGCAACCCCAGAGGGAAGCTGGCTTTGGCTGGAGTCCGATGGGAAGGAAGCGGGCCCATCACTGTCTGACACATCCATGGAGCTCTGCCCTTCTGCAGCCCCAGTGGGCAGGGTCACAAAGGTTGGACTGGAACCTAGACACGAAACCAAGCTAGAAACCTGTGTCAGCCGAGGAGGCAAGGCAAGATACTCGTCGTCACTTTCCAACTCCTCTTCTGGTCTCCACCCAGGCTCCGTGCAGGGAGGGCGCAGAATACCCTGGCTGGCCCTCTTCTCTCTTTCAGACCTGGATGAGGGCCACCCTCTGTCACATGTCCTCTGCTGGGGAGAGCCCACCTTGAGGTGCTTGCCTACAGGTCGCCAGTCCTTCATACATCTCAGGACTGGCTCTCTGCTCTCCCAAGGAGCATCCTTACTGCCTGCGGCCTTGGGGGTAGATGCGAGGTGGTTATGAGATGCCAACCCCACGCCGCCTCGCTTCTGGGGCACTTTAGAGTGACACTGCTTAAGGTTTGGCTCTCTGGACCCAGAGAATGGCAGGGCAGTGGCCTCCACTAGTGGGCAACTGTGGGAGACATTAGTGGGTGACTTTAGGGTACTTGCTGGGGAGATAGAAAAGCTATCCAGGTCTACACCCGAGTCCTGTAGGACAGGATCAGCCAGCACATGACTGTCAAGCTGCTTTAAGAGCTGAGACCTGGGCCTAAGGGGATAAGTGTAGTCCAGCAGGTCTTCATACTCTTTGTTTGGGTTCCAGAGTGGGGAGTGGCGGTCGGGGGAAGGGGGCAGGGAATTCGGCAGCACGCAGGCCCAATACTCGGCTTGGAAGGAGAGGCGCCTCCTGCCCAGCCCAGGCGCATCACCCCCAGAAGACACAGGCTGTGGAGACCACTGGAGCCGAGGCCCTGGCACCACCACAGAGGGGGCCAACTGGGGGACGGCCAGCTCTAAGGAGGAGGAGACCTTGGCAAGGGAGCAACTCTGAGGCTCCGCCTTCTCTTGATGACCCTGGAGACTGCTGCCCGGGGATGAGGCAGAGACGCTGCAGCTGGAAAACTGAGGAGCAGTAGCACCTGGGCTCACGGTGGACCTCCACTTCGAGGAGAAAGGGAAACCTGAGATGTGAGGCTGTTGGCTGAGGTCCAGCACCCGCGGTGACTCAACTGGGGATAGGTCATCTTCTATATCAGCATCATGTCCTGAGCAAAGAGCTGTGGATCTGGGAACAGTGAGAGTCTGAGGTAGCTCCTCTGAGGCAGAAAGCCTGGTCTCCTCCATCTGCAATAAGAAGGAAGAAAAAGCACTCTGGTGACAAATCAGGAGTTTTCTTTGCAGGGCCCAGATGACATTCCGGAGAGATCTTGAAATGAAGAGTCTGCTATTTGATGCAAGAATCAGACAGGGAGACTCAGCCTGCTCCAGGAAGCAGACTGTCTTCCCCAAACTGACCCCACTCTTAGTCCTTTTAAAAGTTCTTCCTCCACAGACAATCAGCACTCTGTCATGCTGGAACACACCGTCTAACCTTTGAGAAGCATGTCCGCAATCATTCTGTCACTGACAAGAGACACATCCCAACCGAGCAGGCAGGTGACCCAGCAGGCTTCACCCAGCTTAACTCACAAGCCAGTGGTAACTGAACACTGGCAAAATGAGTCATTCATCTCAGGCTCTTCACTTTGAAGTTTTAATCTGCTCAGTGAAGAACTTGCCCTGAGGGAGGCTAGATAGTACAGTGGTTAAGAGTATGGGCTCTGGAACCAGAGAGACCTGGCACCAACCCTTGCCACTTTTCAGATGTTTGACTTTGAGCTTGCTTCCCACACCTGGAAAATGGGGAGGGTAATACTACCACTTCCTCAGGACACAAAGATAAAATGAGCTCATGTGTGAAAAGCACAGGGTGAGAACTCAACAAACAACAGGAGTTACAATAATAATCATCAGACTCACATTCATGAAACAGCCCATTTCTGTTTGCTTATTCGCTTCCTGCCCATTGAATCTGACTCACAGGTGCCCTGAGCCTCCACTGTCCTAGATCACAGGCAGGTGGCCCTGGCTTGTTTTCTTCTAGTTAGGCTCAGAGGCCCCTCACAGGATGGAATGCCACAGGGGCAGTGTGCAACAGCCAAGGTCACAATGACACTAAAGAGATCAAAGCCAGTCCCATGAAAGGCCTTGGCAAGCTGAACATAGTAGGATGTTAGAACTTGGAGGGACAAGTCATGCAGGTCACCTTCCCAATTATACCGAGAGCCTGAAAGATTTGGCGATTTGCCTGAGCTCACAAAGCTAGGAAGGATTCCCTGCTCCATGTGACTCCCACTAGGTTAAGGCTGCTCTGCAGTCAGGGAGGCCCAAGAAATTGTCCTTACCCAGAAACAGTGATGGCCATCCCAGGGCCTCAGGGCTCTACTGGGTTCCCTGGGTCCCAAGCAGATAGTCTCAGAGCCTTTAGGAGCCCACAGCCCTGGACCCTCCTTCCCTGTCTCCACAGTACCCCATGAAGCCTTCAGATCATCAAGGCAGAAGCAGGACATGCCCCTGCCAACAGAGATCTCCTGACAGGCAATAGGTCTTGGCCATAGCATCCCTGGTCCTGAAAAGGTCACCAGTCACACTCCTGAGGAATAGGAGATGCGGTAGACAGAGCCCTCTGCTGGCCCCAAGGCCCGACTCTCCAGGTAAACCTATAAAATAGAAATCGTCACACCCAGGCTCCCCCAGTGTCCCACCTTGTACAGCGGCTAAGAAAGCACATAAGATGGTGACAAAATGCTGAAACACAACAATCCCAAAGGGCAGCATTAGGGAAACCTATCATCCTGTTGGCCTGAGTACCTACCAGGCTTCCCACAGAGTGCAGAAGATCACCAGTCTCCACGCCAGGAGGAAGCAGGCAATCGAGAGTAGGATGAGACACACCAGCTATCGGTTCCCTGCTGATGTTGCTGGCCTGTGGCTGGCAGGCTCCAGAGGTGCAGCAGGCAGGGGCAGGTAGCCCTTCTGTCCCCCACACAGAGGAAGCAGGTCCTCCCTCGGCTTCCAGGCGTGGCGGTTGCTCCCCACTCACAGGCCCTGGGATATCCACCTCCTGCTCCCTACAGCTCCGCCTCCCACAAGATGGGCACGTTGTGTCCGTGGATGCCTCCACCTCTGCCTTTTCCTCCCCCAGGGCCATTTACAAGTCCCTAGGTCAAGGTTCCTTGAAGCCTTCAGCTCCCTACAAAAGTGCAAAAGGGAGAGAAAAAGATAAGTTTTCTGTATCTGTATTCAAGAAACCTTGCTTTTCAATGATTAAGAAAAAAATGTTTTTGGCCAAAGAAAAAAAAGAACAAATGATGGCTACTTCCTCAGAGAACAGAGGTCCAGCTTTTCCTCGGTACCAAATCCTTCCAAAGAGAATGTAGGAGCATAACATTTTGTCCTCTGCTTTTATATGGCCCATACCAATCCCAGCAGCAGGTGCCCGGAGGGTCAATGCAATTTGGTTGGTCCAAATCAGAGGCAAGGCTTGGTCCTGACTAAAGTCACCTTTTTGTCCCTGTCCCTTCAGCCCGCTCCCACAGGCTAAAAGGCCTGGCCTGGTCCTTCTCTTTGCCAGAATTGCAGCTAACCTGCTCTCTCAATGCCCCCATCAGCAGGCGGCTCTGGCCTGGCTCTGACTGCTCTCCTCCAGAGAACAGCAAGTCAGGGCATACCTGGGCCTTGGCTGAGCCCAGCGTGCCCTGAGTGCCCGCTCTGCCCGCTCAGGACCCTCTCAAAGCACAGAAACCACGCCCCATCTCAAGGATGGCAGGTGACCAAAAAGAGAGAGAAGCACGCCAGGCAGCCAGGCAGGCAGGGAGAGAGAACAAGGAAGAGCACTCAGGAAAGGAAGAAGAAAGGATTTAGGAGCTGGATCTGAAAATGGGACCATTCCAATAAGAGCTTCAGGACAAAAGAGGGAGACCCCTTCAGCCTCAGTGTGCAGGCAAGGGCTGCTGCTGGGAGCACAAATCCAGGAAGATTTGGAAGCCAGGCAAGGGAATTATAAAGCGCCCAGGTTTCGGCAGCCACCTGGAGTGCACTGGGCCAACCTCAAAGTTAAAACCTAGACACAAATAGCCTTGTTTCCTCAGAGAGCAGGAGGTGAAGTGATGGCAAGATGGTGGAAGCAGAGAAGACTAAGAAGGTGGAGGAGGCTGTGGACGGTGGGCTCACTCTGCTTAGCTCACACCAGGAAACACAACGGAGTGGGGACAGCTCTACCCTGAGACCACCTGTACCAGAGGGTCCTGCCCTGGCTGCATGGGCACTCAAGACTCCAGACCAATTCAGGGGCCACCCTAGAGAAGAGCATACACTTCATATGTACTCTCATTTACTTCTCATAACCACTATATGTGTCAGGAACTCATCAGAAAAACGATTTTTTTGCATAGTTTCAAAATATGGTTCAAATATAAAACGCACCGCAGATCAAGTATCCCTCCAACCTTGTCCCCGTTCCTCTCTCAAGCAGGCTAGTGCACAGGGCATTATGACAATGCCCGGCACATAGTACACACCAACTGTCAGCTACTGCCATCACTGTATGACACAATCAGTGTACTAAGTCACCTCACAAGGAACAAAGAAGTCCAAAAGAGGGGAAAAATGCTGCCAATTTTTCCTATAAATCAAGCAAAATATGTAATACTAGATCCACAAAAACAGGTCAACAGTCTAATTTTGTGTGTCTCTCATCTCCTAATCATATGCAGACAAACACAAAAACCTATTTCATCCTTTTCCCCTTTTTTACATAAAAGTAGCAAATTGTATAGGACATGCTGTTCAGAACCCTGCTTTTCATTCTTTTAAACAAAGTACCTTGCAGATGGTTCCTTAGCAATACGCAGAGAACTTTCTCTTTATCACTGCCCAATACTGTATCCCACTGTAAGGCTGCACTCTATTTCACTGGTCCCTTTCTAGTGGATATTTGGGTTATTTCTAATCTTTTGCTACTACAAACAATGCTATGATGAATAGCCATATACACACATCATTTGCACACATGCTAGCACATCTGCATAAACCAGAAGTAGAACTGCTGAGGCAAAGGGTACCCAGGGTGTACTTCTGGCATATGCTGCCAAGTGGCCCTCTATAGGGTGGCATCAATTTACACTCCCATCAGCAGCATGAGAAGGTACCAGTTTCCCACGGGAGGCAGGTCCTCTTATCCTCATTTCACAGAGAGGGAAACCAAGGCTCAGAGATTCAAATCCAGAACTGTGTGACTACAGAACCCAAGCTCTTTATGAACCACTTAGGGAACAAGTTACAAAACAGAGAGGCACATGAAGTAGAAGAGGGAAGAGACTGGTGGAAGGGCAGAGATGAGTGAGTGACCAAGGCCTGCAGAGAGAGAGATTCTCATGGAGCCACATCCTCACCTTGTGGCTATTTCAGAAACTGCACATGAAGATACAGGCAAATTGTTTTCACAACTATGGCAATAAACTAATAAACTAAGCTGGAAAAATTACGGCAATGGCTGAATCTAACCCGCAGCCCCTAGTTTCTACTTCCTGCTCCACTCCTAAACTCTCTCATTGGCCTGTGTCAGGCCGTGATGGGTGACTGCTAATCCCGCTTTTGCTCCACTACTCCCCCTCCACTAAAGGGGACTGGAATAAGACCATGCCAGGACAAAACAAAAGTGCAAACGAATGATCTGTCTTTGTTTTTGATGAGGTGTTTTTATTTGTCTTGTCTGGATTTCATTGTTCAGAAAAGAAGGTATCTATTTATCCCTGGGGGATGGGGAGTGATGAACTAGAATTACGAGCTATTTAGGAGACACATCTAGGTAACTTTCAAGTATATACACAAACCTGAACTAGGATAACAGTGTCGCCAGAGGCTCTTCAGAACCCAGGTAAGGTCTGAATTCAATGATATTCATAGAAATGGTACTTCTGAAAAGAGAGATTATAGGATCTGGATAAGCAGTTCCTTCATAATCTTGTTTATTAATCTTCCTGAGAAGTCTTGCTTTCCCCCCTGTGCTACACAAGTTTATTATGAGAACTAAGACAGATACATGTGAAAGAAAAGAATAAAAAGAAGTCCCTGAGAGTTCATTCTAAATTGTATTAAGATGCTACAAAATACATAGGAAATCAATTTAGGTAGAGATTATCAGGGAAAACTCCTTGAAGTAATGACCGCTGCAGGCAAACCATTTTATTTTATTTTTTATTTTTTTTTATACGCCTACAGCACCTGGTCTTCCTAGGTGGTCTCCCATTCAAGTACTAACCAGGCCCGACCCTGCTTAGCTTCCCAGATCGGACGGGATCGGGCGTGTTTGAGGGTGGCATGGCCGTAGACGGCAATCCATTTTTAAAACATCAATCATGTTGGAAGAAAACAGTGGCCTAGCAAATATACAAGTTTTGGACTTCCAGGGCTTAACCCTGTCTGCATTTGCCAGGTGGGCATCTGTAATACTACATGAACGTCCAACCCTCATTTCCACGGATTCTAGATTTTACATATCATTCCTTCTGGCCCTCTTGAGGATGAGAGAGAAGGTTTAGGATCCTGTTTGGACCCATCCAATGAAAGAGAGCTTACTCCTTTTCAAAGTACCTGATGGACTGCTCAGATTGATGAAAATTACTTCCTGTGCTGGACCAACACTCTCCCTCAGGTCAGTAGCTTTAAACAACCTGCTACTCTCTTTCAGATCACACATTTTACAGTGTTCCTGGGGGCTAGCAGCTCCGTGTTACGCAGAGTCCTCAGATGGCCTCTTCCCTAAAAGGGAAGCAGCAGAAGGTTGGACTGAGTGGCTAGAGGCCACAGAGCACAGACAATAAATTCAGCCTTCCCATCGGAGAAAGGTCTGTACATATCAGATCTGCCCTGCCCTTGGCCAAACCAAGAGACAAGCCACATAAGCTTCAGAATATTCTAGGGGCCACTTGGACTGTTAAAGTTCTCCACTAGTTTTCCAGGACTTGCAGAGGCCATATGACCTACCAGATATAATTAGGAGTGATGTAGGCTTGGCTTACTCTTGCCCTACAGTAAAAATATGCTCTCACATCATGTATGTTGTAACACTAACTCCATTGGCCTGGCCATCTGATTCTGGTATCTGCTGATCCACCCTCATGCAGTCCTGTCACAGCTGCCAGGGCTTCCTCCCACTTGCTCCTATCTAGGATGGAGAAAGGAGGATTGGGAATAGGGGTGCAGGGGGAAGGGTGATGTTCTTCTCTTAACTAAACCATTCAAATATACGAACGATCAGCTAGGAGAGCAATCTTCCTTTAATTAAAAACAACAACAGCAGCAGCAACAAAAAACCTTCCCCAGGATTCTTTAATCACAAGCTCCCTTTGAAACAATCTGATTTATACCAACTCTGTTTAGGAAGCTCTGCTCCTGCAAGGGCCTGTCTCTGCACTGGAATACACAGGCAGCCACCTACACCAGCCAGGGACCAGGTATTGCTTGACAGAGCAAGCCTGACCAGCTCAGGGGCTAAAGCCTTGACACTCCTTTTTGCCTTCACGGTGGGCCACAGGTATAAGTGGTAACGGTCATGTACACACAGTGGCAGAATCTGGCCAAGGAACCAGAGGCTCTCTGTGCTGCTCCTTCTCTAGGAACGTGAACCTGCCCACAGGGAAAGGGGGAGGGGTGGGATAGAACCTAGCACTGTCACGTTGCTAGAAGGCTTCTGAAGGAATTAGATTGACAGGCGAAAGGAGCTTAAAGTCAGAAGCCCATCTAGGCGTGGGAAACAGCATGAAAGGGGGTAAAGAAACACGTGAGGGAGGCCAACAAAAGGGGCAGTCACAAGAGGTCCAGGCTTGCCTCAGAGCAGGGTGGGTGCTGGCTACACTGTGGCTGGAGGTTTAAAACTGGGAGGCCGATGGCCAAGAGCGACCGCCGTTTCCACCTGGCTCCTTCCCTGGTTGTAGAAGCCCGGAAGCCTCTCGGTCCTCCACATTTTCCCCATCTTTCCCTGTAAGGCAGGTCCCCGAGTGCTGTGTCCCTCTTCTTTGCAGGTGAAAGCAAAGTGAAAAGGAAGAACAGGAGAGGCAAAAGAACCTGGGAAGCACAGATGAATCTCCCATGGTTTGGCAATGGGCTGATGCTATCCTCAGGATCCTTGGGCACCAGCTGCCCCCTTCCATTTCCCCTAAGGCTATTTCTCTACCTTTTGCTTAGTCAAATAAAGGGTCTGTCATTGGGTCCCTTTAAATCAATGTGGTGGAAAAGTTGCTCTCCCCTTGCTTTCTCACTTGCTTACTAGCTGGGTAGCTGACTGACTGGGCCCACCAGCCAGCCTCACAGGCCAATCTTCTAACTTGTGAGAGGTCTTTGGATGGTCTTCAAAGAGATGCAACTGCCATATCTAGAAGGAACGTGACTGAGCTCCTAGGCACCCTTCTCCTCCACCCCAAGCTCTCAGGCTTCCTCAGCAGTCAATAAATTGTTCCCATCCAACAAAACTCAAAGTACAAGGATGATGAGGACTGAACATGTCAATCACTGTACCTTCTGTTCCACTGAAGAGCAAGACAGAAAAATAGCATCCCTGTAACAAAAAATCATTCCTACTGTCTCAGGAAGCTGGCTCTGGACCACGCAGATGCAGCTCCAGAGGCCACTGCTTTTACGTACTGACAGTTTGCTGTGAGCCCATCAAGCTACACATATGAAGACTGATAAGAATTTTATTGATTTTCTTAGAGATGCTATTAAGATTGTACTCACTTTATCAAAGTGTCCTCTTTGGAGAACCCAGGGGGAAAAATTCTCTGGTCTTAGTAAGAGAAACAGCTGTTTCACTGAATAGCCAGTTGGTTTTATTTTATAGGTATTAGCAAAACTGATAAAATTTTTCCTCTTTGCTCTGGCTGCTAGGAAGCCCAGGATCAAACCTACAGACCCAAGTAAAATATATAGGATGGGGAGGTACTCACCTATTGTACTGATCTTACCTTTGACTTCCTCTTACTTTTCTTTTACTTTAGCTGCCTCAATTACTTTTATTAAAAACCCTAATACACTGAAAGTATCTTAGGAAGATTCCTCAAATCATTTTTGGAACAAAATAGAGGAACTGTTAAAAACAGAATAAGATAATAGAAAAAAAGCTCCTAAATCCAAGACTTCATCCCTATACCATAAGAAAACAAAACTTATCAGTACTTCTAAAAAGCAAATGCAGATACTTATGTTAGTACCTTCCTACCCAAAGTCTGATCCATGGACCAGCAGCATCTGCATCACCATTGAGCTTGTGGGGATTAGATTCTCAGGCCCCACCCATAGCCTTGGAATCAGAATCTGCACTTTAGCAAGATTTCCAGGTAACTTGGCAAGCACAATAGTGTTTTAGCACCCCAAAGAACTATAAACTATAACGGCTTTACAAGCATCCACTGAGTGTCTATCTTATGCCAGGCACATAGGAAAAGGAAATTTATGGTCCTGTCTTTGAAGTCTGTCCAACAGGACACTAGAAAAAGCTTACATCTAGTGGCAGGTTTTTAATGGCTAATTATAGATTGTCACAGCTGTAAGGGAGTCCCCAGAAAGAACACCATTCCCTAGAAAGGATTGAAGATTCTTTGTGGCTACACTGAAAGCAGAATCAGAGACCAGAATTATCCTGTGATAGTTACAAGTGAGGAGTGGTATTCATTTTGGAAACTCCAAATAATTTTAAGAGGAACTAATGTGCAAAGGGGACTCACAGCTGGAAGGAAATGTGCAACCTAGCCTGTTTCCTGCAACCAGAGAGTGGTACAGGAAAACCTGGAAGTGAGGCAATATCCCAGAGTTACATCTGCCACCTTTAGGTCTGGCAAGTAGGTCCAGAATCAACAGGAAGACTTCTTCCACTTTTCACAATGTTTGTGAACAACTTTAAAGACAGGAACATTTCTTCATGAGAACAGATTTAAGCTATAAGGAGAGAGGCCACCCCAAGTTCACCTCCATAAGCTCTGCCTCTCTCTGGCCGAACCAACCATCCCTAAAGATTTGTCAGCCACACCAGGCCGCATTTGATTTACTCCTACTCATTTTGAGTAACAGACCACATTTTGAATGTACCCAGTATTACTGTAGTACTTGCCAAAATGTTATTTGGCACTTCATCCATCTCTAGAAGGTAATAATAAGACTAACAGTATAAAGAGTTCATTTTCTATGGAATACAGGCAAACCTTGGATATATTACAGGTTCAATTCCAGATGACAGCAATAAAGCAAGTATCAAAATAAAGTGAGTTGTAATCTTTTTGCTTGAAGGGTCTGGCCTTCAATTTGTATAAAACACAACATCTGTAAAGCGCAATAAAACGAGGCCTGTATGTACTTTTACTTGGGCAGGGGGGAGTGGTTCTGGAGAAGTTTAAGAGATTTTTTAAAATCAATAAACACAGAAGGACCATAAGGCAGACAGACTCTGAAGGGTCAAGTACTATACCGATATTTAGTATTAGTGAATCTGTTCAAGTGTCTGTTTATTTTTATCCTAACAACTGCTAACAGCTACTGATCATTTCCTTTGTGCCAGGAACTACACTAAGCACTTTGTCAATATTATATTTAATCCTTAGAACCCACAGAGTAGGTACTATTTCCAACTCCATTTTACAGATGAGGAAATGAAGGCACAGAGAAGTTAAATAACTTATCCAGAGTTAGTAACATGGCAGAGCTCAATTCTGATTTGACTTAAGACAGCCAGAGCCCAACTGACTCTCAACCCTGTAAGAATAATTGGCCCAACAAGTTAAAGTTATTAAAGTTTTTGTTTTTTCAACTTCTTGGCTAGATTGCTGATTTTCGGTTTGGCTTCCTTCAATCACTGAGTACCTTCTATGTTCCAAGCATTGTGCTAGGGGCTGGGGAAACCACAATACAGCATGATGTATAAACAGGCAACAAAATGTAGTCCAAAAGAGGGACTGATGAATAGTTGTTGGGTAGGGGAAGAGCTTTAAAAGCTTTCCAGAAGAGGTGAAATTGAGTTCTCTGCTCTTTCCTGTGCTGAGTGGCACAGAATTGACTGATCCAGGTGGTGGAGGAAAAAAAGGACGAAACGTGGGGACTTTTACTTCTTTTAATCAAGCCCTAGACCCTTGACTTCTCTGCCCGACTTACTATCATGCATTTTAACATTCTTCATACTCTGGATCCAGGAACTGTTAGGGTGTTTATGAACGCTACCTATTTTGGGGCGCCTCTTCCAACTGCTCGATGAATTCCCAGTAAGATTCAATCTGTCCTGGCAGGTTTCCGCTCACTTTTATTGCAAATAATACACCGACCACAACCTAATAATTATAAAGGGCCTGAAATAGGTTTTGGACATATACCCCTGGGCTGCTGAGAGCTGTTCCAGTAACAACAGTTGGAAAGGGTGGCCTTTACACACAAGAGTGAGACATCTTGCTTTTTCCCCTTGGCAGCCGTGGACAGCTGCATTCAAGGTGACAAGAGAGCATCATTCGTCTCCATCTTTCCAGTGGGAATGACCCAGAGCTGGTGAGAAATGGTGTCTGCATTAGTCCGGATCGGGAGCAGTGCGAGTTCCTTACTGCCTAGGCCACCGGGCGAGGGCATAGGATAAATAGGAACGCCTAGGTCGAGGCCCTGAGGGCAAGTGAGTTCTCCCGCGGGAGAGACCGAAAAGCCGAGCAACTGCGAGGATGCATGGACATGCGCGCCCCCCCCCCCCCCCGCCCCGCCTCGCCGCGCTCAGGCTTTTATCCCCGCCGCATGCCTCCCGCGCCGACGCCCCAGCCGCGACCCGCACCCGCCGTTCCGTCTGCAAAATGAAGCTGAAGGCACAAGTTCCCCCATCCCCAAAAACTCTTTGTGCCCTTCCAGGTGGAAGACCCGAGGCCCGGCGACCCGCCCGGCCCGGCCTCGCAGACCGGGAAAGACCATAGGGCAGAGGGGGCCGGGCCGCACGGATTGGGTACTGCCTGGGCCGCCAATCCTCGCTCCGCAGACCGACCGACACCCGCACGTCGGCCACTACCTACCGCGCATCGAATGCTTCGGACGCCACAGCCTGGTCACAGCCACACCGTGCGACCACCCAGAAGCGGGGGTCCCAGATGGAGACCGTGGCCCGAGAGCCGGAGTCCGAGCGCTTGGGGCGGAACCGAGCACTGGCCACGCCCTTCGCACCCGGGGCCGCCTCCGCGCGAAGGACGCTTTTGGAGAGGCGCCGCCAATCCCAGCCCTCAGTCCAGAGGCTCGACCAATGCGAGACCCGCTTCTGCAAGAAGAGCCCACCCCTTGCTCTGTCTTGGCCTATTGAAGGCCGGATCTTTTTCGGGCGCGCGTCCTTCTTCGCCTTCCGCTCCGCGCTCACGTTCGCGTGTTGCGAGCTAGCGGGGTCGTACGAGGGCAGGTGTCTGGGGCAGAGCAGAGGGGTGGATGTCATGGGGCGCTTTTTCACTGCGTGTAGGCCGCACCTTGAGTCCTGCATTCATTCATTCATTTTGCTCTGGGCGCATGTCTGTATTCCAGGAGCGCCGCTGCCTGGGAGGCGGTCCCCACAGTGTTAGTGCTTGTTTACATTTTCATCTAAACAACCGGGCGTGTGACCGAGGTCAGAACAGGTGCCGCGGAGCATGTGCCCAGGAGGAGGGCAAGGTCTCCAGGCTGGGTGATTGAAGACAGCTTCGGGAGAGGGTGGCACTTAGGCAGGCTTAGAAAGGATGGGAAGGATGTGGGTAAATGAAACCGGAGCTGCTTCGGGGCTCTCTGAGCTGCCTGGTCTGATGGCAAATTGGTGATGCAGTCCGAGAAGAAGTGGGAACTAGCCTTTGGGAGGCCATGATGCACATCCCCTTCTACCACTTACCCCTCCCCTACGCCCCCTTCAGTAGTGAAGCCTAGGAGCCTAATGACACAACTCTAGCTTTTACTGCTCCGTGCAATCCTGGGGCACAGGGTAACTACCATCAGCCTGGGGTGCGGAAAGGATAACCCTGGTCAGAACTGTTCCTCCTTTCTGATACTTTTCTCCCCGCAGCACTTTCAGCCATCTGGCTTCGAATGAATGCCTCACCACTTGACCAGTAAGTAGTGAGGCCTAGGAGCCTAATGACACAACTCTAGCTTTTACTGCTCCGTGCAATCCTGGGGCACAGGGTAACTACCATCAGCCTGGGGTGCGGAAAGGATAACCCTGGTCAGAACTGTTCCTCCTTTCTGATACTTTTCTCCCCGCAGCACTTTCAGCCATCTGGCTTCGAATGAATGCCTCACCACTTGATAAAACAGGTCTGTAAATGTCTGAACCCCATTTGTGGGCAACTTGAACTCCAGCATACAAATTCTTTCCCTCAGAGCACCTGTACCCCAGGCAGTTTAGGAGATAAAGGTGTGTTGGGTTTTCCTGAACCGATCATGATAGAGATTTTGTCTAACCGAGGAGTCACAAACTTTTGATAGCAAGAGTAGAAACTAGCCCACATATGATTTTGCTTGGGCAGCACATTGGTTTTATTTGCTTTTGTTTTTTAATAAAAATTTAATCTCACAAGCAGCACTTGTGTGTTAAGAAGCAGCCATCCACTTCACACATTTGTTACCTGTCTGAAATCTGAAGGCATTTGTGTTTGTGACCCTTGGTCTTTCCGAATGCACAGAAAACCTAATCCTATAGGCGGAGGCTTAGGTCTTTTCCAGCCAAGATACCCAGCTGGACAGAGAATAGGGCCAACTCCAAACAGGTAACCAGGTAAAGTGCAGAACCAGGGTACCAAATCCAAATGAAGGGGACTTAAGAGAAAAATCAAGGCCAAATGAATAAGATGTCAAAAGGCCAAAGAAGTTGGTGGTGGAATTTGATATAAGCAGACTATGAGCAGGAAAGTAATTCTGAAGTTAGCAAAAAACTGACATAGTCCTGACCCACTGTCAGGTCTCAGGTCAAATCCCACCATCTTCATCAAACGCACACTGATCTCCTCAACCAAATGTGTACTCTTCTTCCTTTAAACTCTGTAGCACTCGGTGTGTATCTTTCCTGTGGCCCTTATCGTTTTCTACCCTGTTTGGTTTCCTCCTCCGTAAGGGGATACAATGGATGATTCCTGCAGTTCCTTTCAGTTCTGACATTTTGTAATTTTGTATTGTGAGCACCTTTCATTTTTGCCTGGCATGTAATCTCTCCTTTGAGGAATTGCCTGAAATCCTTTGGATCAGATGGTTCTTAAGAGCATCATACTTCCCTGGCCTCCCAAGGCAGGAAGGGTTGGGGAGAGAGAGATGCAAGAAGCCCAGGTCTGGCCGACTCTAGTTTCCCTCCTCTGGTCCTCATTGATGTGACTCAACCTGAGCTGGTCTGAGCCTTTGTCTGGAATGAGGCTGGGAGGAAGCTCATTCTTTTCCTCTGATGTTTCTAAGCTTAGGCAAAGTAAGCCTGAAGCTGTGTATAGTTATGGTCATTATACAAGAAAAGCTGGAGAACCAGATCTGGAAATGGTAGAAATCCAGGAAGGCCAGGCAGCGATATGTAGCCATGTTGCTCGAGTTCTCTGATTAGGCTGTACTTTTGGTGTTGTCATGAATCATTTTTCAACTCTTTTGTGATATTAAGTATCCTCAAGATTCAAGATTTGGGCAGGACCATTGATGTGGTCTAGTCTCGGTCGTGTGGCTGTGTTCTAGCTGCCAATAGGCAAGGAGGGTTCTGTTTTCTGCTGTGGCTTCTACTGGACCCATTGGCTTCTAGCGTGAGAGGAGGGGCCCAAATCTCAGGGTGAGGGGCTCCCCCCAATTTCGAAGGATATTCAGATGCTGGGTAGCCAAAAAGAATTCTACTATAGTCCATCCCTTAGGCCAAGGAATGCCCAACATCCACAGACATGCTTTATGCCATACTCTCAATTTTAAATAAAATTACTCCCATCCAACACAATACAACCATCTTTCTTACAACAACAATAAAAATGCACTCATCTCCTCCCTAAAGGAGGACAGCTCGAAGTCTCATCAATTATTGTATCTGGCCCCAAGTCAAATCTGTGGGTGATGGTCCATTCTTCCTCTAAGTTTCATCAGCATCCTATCTCAGTGTTGTAATGTGTAGACTAAATTTTAAAGTTAATCATCACTGATATACTTTAAATACAATAATAAAGAGAATGGAGATTTAAAAAAAAAAAAAAAAAAAAAAGGACAGCCACTAAAAACCCTATACGTGATACAGCAAGAAAAGAGATACTGGTAGAGGCTTCAATCCTCATTTTTGCAACTGGTAATGAATCTGTACTGGACTTTATGATTTCCCTCCTCCACTACCCTTCCTAGATTTCCCTTACTTTCAAGGTAAGGTTTCTTTACCTGGTAGAGTTAACCAAATCTTCATCCTTGAGGAGTCTACCTTGGTGGGCCCGCCTGTGTGTAGCGCAGTACTTTTCATTAACTTGTATTCCTGGCCTCAGGAGTGATGAGATGCCTTAGGAGACCTCCTGGATTCCAGTCATGCTCCCCTAGTCATGCTCCTCATCTATCCCATTGATAGTCAGAACCAGTTGTCAGACAACAGTGTAACCTCCAGGAGCACGAGGAGACAGTGATCTCAGATTTCAGTTAATAGGAACCATTGTTGTAGGCTCTGGTGAAAGTACTGCACTTAAATTTCTAAACCAGCTGATTTGAAGAAAAGAAAAACATAAATTTTGAAGGAGAACCTTTAAGTGTAATTGAGAGGTGCCATACCCACTTTCACCAGCTGGTTCACAGACATCTGCATTCCACTGTGCAAGAAACTACTGGTCCTTGGTTCAGAGCATACACTTCATCCAGCAGGACAATACTACAAACTCTTAGAGTACTGTCTCTCAGCCGGCACTTGAACTAATCTTTTTTAAAAATTACGTTTTTTAATGTTGTTAAAGTACTATGTGCACGTATTCTTTTTTAAAAATCATGTATTACTAAAAGACTCATAAGACAATGGATTCTATTACCCGTTTAGCCCCTTTAGTCTCCCTTATCAGAGGCTTTTGCTTTCACATTTTTAGCTTTCTTTTCTGTTATTTTCATATTTTTAAATGTACTTGTACTGCTATTTATTAATTTAGGAATTTGAGACCTGATCTTTTGACTTTTTATTATGTTAGATGAGGATTTAGCCCTACTATGTAGCCTCCTTCTCATTTTCTCTTATCTACCTTATATTTGCTATATCATAATTTTCATAATTTAAGTCAATAGACAGCATTATATCATTTTGACTTTACGAATATTGTTCGCTGCTGAGCCAAGCTCTACACTATGGTTATGTTTCCTTTCTCTACAACTTTTTGTTTTTCCTGGAGCTAATGACTTTTTCACTTTCAAGGATTTCACTGTATTTACCCTTACTTTTCCATTAAATGTTTCATATTTCTAAACAGTAGTTTGTTTCAAAATGCTCACAGTCATCATATGTTCTACCATTTTTATTTTCCCTTAGAGATTTTCTTCCTAAGAATCTTTCCTTCCTCCCTCCCTCCCTTCCTTCCTTTCTTCTAACATCTTGCTCCAACCAGACCACTTACTCTTATGTCTTCTATACTGTCATCTACTCTTGGTAGAAATACTTGTTTTTTCTGGTTCAAGAAGATCTAAGGCTTTGGGGGGAACAACAACAACAACAACAAAAACAGAAAATAGCAACCAATATCCACATAAAGCAGCTATAAAAACAAAATAATAATCCTTTTTAGTTAATGAAAATATAACCAAAAAAAGCAGAGGAAAACTATAACACAGCACTCTTAAATGAATTAATATCACTTAGCACGCAACAACAGCTATAAAGACTCCAAAAATTCCAACATTTAAAAGCTCGAAATAGAAATGGGCACAAAATAGAAAGCTGCAAAATAAGGAGTGACAGAATTCAGGAAAAAAATAGAAGAAAATAATAATCTCAAGGTATGAAAACTAAATTACATGGTATCCAAGGAAAAATGAGTTAGACTAAGAATTCCATAAGGGACATCGAAAAAAGAATTTCAAATAATCAAAAGAACCAAAAATAAATTTGGAAAAGAAATAAAAACAGCAGAAAGTGAAAGACACAGAAGACTTAAAAAGAAGAGTCAACATATGTATCATCACAGTCCTCAAAGGAGAAAAATATAACAGTAAAACAAAGCTATAATACTA